CTTCATCTTGTGAATGTTTGTTTCATCACTGTTGTTTCCATGCCTGCTTTTGCTTCTCATTCCACCTTTGTGATGTGGATCAGGTAGTCCCACATTTGTCAATCACTGCTTGAATGACACAGATATGTCTTTTTTTTTTGTTGTTTATTTTATTCGTAAGTTGTTGGCTCCTGAATGACCCCTTTTTCACCTAATGCTTTTTCTCAGTTAAGGAATCTCCTCTTTTCCCTTCCTTTTACTTTCTCTCTATCTACTCATCATCATCTCTTACTCAACTTCTTTATTAATTTTCATGCTTCACATTCACTTATAGGCTTTTCATTATGACCCTATCAGCTTTACTGAGACAACTTACACATTACCTATTTTCCACATTGCTCTTAGTTGTTGTTTCTCTTATTTTGCTCATATTAAATTGTTTTGTTTTTTATCCTCTTTTATACTTTGTCAGGTTGCCTTACTTTCTGACTTTCATCTCCCCAATCTTCTCTCCAGGATCTGTCTTGCACCTTTTATTGGGATATCTCTTATAGATTGGCATCTTGAGCAGATGTAGCTCTTCAGCAGTCATCTCTTCTCACTTTGTTTTATTGCCCTTATGGGATCATCCCCACTTCTATTCCTTGTCCTCTTGTTATTATATGCAGTCCCCTCTTTCTTTGAGGGCTGATTGCCTTGGATCTTGGAGGCAATTTGTTTCTCGAGCCTTCCCCTTGCTCCAGTCCTGTGGAAGCTATGTTTTCCAACTTTGTTCACTGGTGGACTCTCTATGCTACAACATATTGTATTCCTCAGGTGCTTTCTCAGAGGGTTTTTTTTTACTGCTACTCTCCACCTCATATGCTGCAAATGCCATGGGATAATTCCTTAATCCCACTCCAGGGTTATACTTCTGTCTTTTCTATTGTTCTTAAGAATTTGGAATGTTGGCAGACAGATATCAGTCTGTCTCACTTGACCCAACTCTGGTCTTCTCATGGTTCCTGATGGGAATTTTTCCCACTATTTGATGGATATTCTTCCCATGATGGACAACCCAATTTAGGGGCTGACTCTTTATTTACATGCCTGTTTGTCTGGCCACCTTTCACTTCTTTTGCATCATTTACAATTGTTGAACATTTGATTCTCAGTCTTTCCCTTTGAGTATACAATGACCTTATCTTTTTTTTTAATTGACTCTGGTGGGGTTTTACTTTGAGGTTATTATCCTTGAGACTTTTGTTTTGCTAATCTATGAATATTTGATCTGTACTTCCCCATTTCAATATGACTTACTCTGTTGTGACCTTTTTTCTTGTGGAGTGACCTCATTTAAGATGGTGGTGGCTGAGCTGTCCCTTTCAACCACAACTTGGGGGTCTCTCTCACTTCATATGTGGGGCAGGTTCAGTCTACTTCTTTGTCTTTGTTACATGGAGCTTTTAGCCTTCATGTATCCTTCATTTCCCATGTGTCTTGTTTTTGTTTTTTTTTGGGGGGGGGGCTTTTTCCAATTGAATCCCTTGTTTCTCTTAAATACTACATACCTGTTCTCTTTAGTAGTTTCTGGCCTGTCAATGCAGATATCTTCAGAGATACAATGTTTTCTTTTCATTCTCAAAGTCATGGTCGCTTACTTAATCTCTCATAACCCCAGACACCCTTTTTTTCCCACTTTACCCACTTGTTTTTGTCTGTGGACTACTTCACTTTATATATATGGGTTTTCATATCTATAGTTAGCATAGCACAAGTGTCATTTTATGTTGGCTTTGTGTGTAACGGTAACCAATCCTATGACCACATCTTTCCATTGCCTCTGTTCTAGTGTGGTGAAGTTCTGGACACCTGGTGTATTTCAATTATCTTTTCTTCAGGAGTGAGGTTTCTTTGTTTCTACATCCTAAAGTTATTGGCTACTTACTCTGCAGGCTTACAACTATTTTCAGTCTCATCTTATTATTATATCCATTCATATACCTTCTTAGTTGTTCCTTCCTTCCCCCAACAGGGAGGCACTTGCTCCTGCAATCCCTGTTTTCTTGGCTTTAGAATTTCCCTTTTGGGCCCTTGACTATCATGTTCAATTGTCATTTTATTGCACCTCTTAGTCTCAGTCCCTGGTAGTATATCTACTATCTCACTTAGGCCTGAACCCTTCCCAGTGAGGGCATCCTATGATCATTGCCTTTCCACTTCCCTTCCATTAATTTGGTAACAAATTCCAGACTACAGGCCACTAACATCCGTATGAGATCTTGCAGGTGGGAATGTGTATGATTTCCTGACACACTAGTGTCACATTACTAACACCACTTGCAGTTTCTTCTACCCTGGGTTTTGTCTCCATCCAATCACCTTTCTCCACTTTTCACAGAGACTTTTGGAAGGTAAGTTGTTCATTTTCTCTCTCATTTTGCTGCAAGTTCTTGCTGTGGGTCAGTAGTAAATTTACAAACTTGCAACACAAAATTTTTTGGATTGGTTCCCTGTGGCAGACTGAGTGCAGTGAGGAAGTAAGAAATGTCTCAGAACCACCTAATTCAAATTCTCTCGTCCCCCATACCCATCTCTCTTTCTTAAATTGAATCCACTGTTAATGATGTCTCATATGGAATACTTATCCAAAATCTGCACTTGCTCAGGTAGCTGTTGAGATGGGATTTGCCACTAAACTTCTTCAGCAGTATCTAATTATATTATATCTTCCAATCTGTACTGCACTAGAAAAAGAAACAGAAACACCAGGTACTGCATACTCCCACACTTTGCTTTCACATGCTGTGTATAGTTGCAATAACACATTACACTGGCCCTTAGTGTGGGACCTAATTTCAGGTGAATGTGCCTGATGACAATGGTCCGAGCACTCTGGTGTTCTCCCCCATGCAAATTCCTCACCCCATTTCTTCTTGTAAATTATGGGAGAACCCTTCCTTCCCCAGTCCCAATCTTTTGGGGGAGTTAATATGAAGAATTCCTTATTGGGTGTTGCAATTTCACCAGTATGAGACCAAGTGGGTGCACCCCTCATTTGATGAGTGGGGCTTGGGGTGTTGCCTAGTGGTATAGTACAGGATATTTCACTATTTTATGAACCAAGTCAGTCCAGTTGGAGGGAGCTTGGGCTCACTTTAGGACACAGGTATGGGATATTACTTCTTGCACCTGACTTTTGTGGTATCTCACATAAGTACTTTTGCTGTAACACATCCCTTGGGTGAAGAGTATTCCTGCTTGAGATGGATGAGGTCTCCCACAAAGTACTGACCTACTAGGCTAACCCTTACCTTGTGGATATTGTATTCCATGGTCTTTCTCTTCCTGATGCTGTTTACAGAAAGGAGCTTATCTTTGTAATTTCTCTGCGTCAACCAGAAGAGTTGCTAGGTGCTTAAAATATTCAGGGCTTGAGCCCATATGCACTGGAAGTTTTGGTGTATGAATATGATATAAATCATAATTTTCAGTCTGTGTTTCCAAGAAGCCAACTGGGGATTCAGGGCACTGTAAAATAGAATTGGAGCATGTGTCAGTGCATAGCGATGCCTTTGGCATCAGCCCCTATACTGCCTTTAATGTGGGTGTCAGGTTTTGTGTATGGGCCAGATTCTTTACAGTAGGTGTCTGTGACTTGTTGGTAATATATTAAACCAGTAAACAAACAGAACACAGTCCACATGTTTTAAAATAATATATTAAAACAAGTCAGATGTTTTTAACACCATTGGTTATCACAGAGCTTTAAATAATTATCTCTTTTTGTCAAAGTCTGCACAAGCTGGCTCAGTTACTTTAGAACACAATTGACAAGATGAATTATCATTCTCTGCTCTGTTATTAAAATACAATCAGTGATAATTTTACTTATGTTACATTGTTGATTACCACACTTGTATTCAGAGCTTTAAATAATTGTTTCTTTTCATCAAAGTCCACACAGACTGGTTCAGTTACTTTAGAACACAATTTCATTTTAAAAACTGACACAATGTGCTCTTTATACGTAAACTCACAATCATGCAGTCTAGATCTAACTATCTGTTCCTAACTTTGTCTAAACTAACTCAAACTACATTTTTACACATATTTATAGCCTGACTGAGGCCTAGAATGTTCTACATACTATGAAATATTATGATGCAATATTATTCAGTTAAAAGAACAAGAAAAACTTAGAAGGTTCTAGTAATATGACACAATAATACAACAAGTGCCAATTCACAACAGCTGAACTACACAACCTATGATTTGTACACAGTTACATAAACAGACCTGCAATAAACTATCTCTTCTAAACATAACTAAATTTAATACTCGCATCAAACTTAAATTGAAACAGTCATGTATCTCTAACAGCGGGATTCTAGCTCTTTGTGGTACAAATGGGTGAGTAACATTTCTAAAGTTAACATGCTTCGTATATGAAAATGTATTTCAGATAGATACTCACCTCTGCACTACCTCTAAACCTTCCTCCTCACTTCCCATGTATTTAGTTTACATCATCAAGATTGAGCCTGTGTTCATGTGCTAGTGCTCATGTTGATTACTGCACATGGAGAATGTGTCACACACACACACACACTCACACAAGTGGAAGGCTATAGTTTAATGATGATTATGTAAAGGCTGATGCAATACATGTTGACATGTGTAAGGGTAGAAGCTTTATTCAAGAATTGTGGCATTTGCAGAAAATTATATGACATTCTAAGCAAGTTAATAGCTCTTTCCGATGTAGAAAGCTAAGTATGTATCCTAGAGACATATTCAAGTATAGTTTGCTTTAGGTGTATGATATTAATGGAATGGCAATTGTCTTTTTCCAAAAGCATATTATTAATCTTATTTGCATGTTTTAATCAAGATTTTGTGTAACAACTATTTTTTTAGTCAAACTATTTTAGTTTTGTTGTAATTTCTTTCTTTACCAAAAATGTAATCATAAATAGATATGCATATTTTAATGAAGAATTTGTTGGGTAACATCTACATGCAGTTACTATTTTATTTAGGCATATGATATTAATAGAATGGCAACAAACTTGCCTGAGCCATCATCAACATGTAGTCCACCTCCACATTCAGCAGCTTCTGTGGTTTGGCCACCTCATACTCAGACTGATGGTGATGTAAGAAATATCTTTTTATATAAAACTGTATAAATACTTTGTGTCAGATGTTAAAAGGAAGTTGAAAGTAACACCCATAATGTACTTTTGCAGTTATTTTAAAACTAAGAGTAATACCTTATACTTGTTAAGGGTAAGCTAAAAAAGAGTATAGATCAAATTAGTCTTTCCTTAATTCAAAGCTGGATTGCTATTTTATTGTTAGACATCTTCATAATCTTTTTGGAAACTGCTTGCATTGGCATACCTAATTGTGGCCTTATACATGTAGGAGTTCATTATTGGAATATATGGCTCATTACTTGATTGCAAACTGTGTATTTGTGTATAATTATTAGTCTGTAGTTCTAGTATATAATCCTTAATCTCAATATTTTATGTAGCATTTAATTAGCAATAAAGAAGTTTGAAGCTAGATGATTAATATAAATTTATCAGTGTGCTAAACTCCTAAGGTTGTGGTTTTTAATACTTTTCACATTCAAGAAAGGTTTCTGCAACAAAAGCTTGTTGTTTTTCTAATGTATTGTTACGCCTCCAGTCGTTAGTTAATTTTCCGTAAATTCGTTCTAACGAAACTTTAGCGACACAAGTCCTTTCTTAAATAAAACTGATTAATTCTTTCCGAATACAACTTTACTATACACTAAATTTCAACAGTCGCGCTATAACAAACGCTTCAACAATACTCTCTGACTGCAGTTCAATTACTCACTACCTACACACATTGTCCTGTCACGTTGTGACCATCTTATATATACCAGATTACCCCTAATCTAGTAAATGCTAGGGCATTCACGAAGGAACAGGATATTTCTACAAACGTGGCGTGACACTAGTCACGTGACCTCGCTGACGCAACAGTATTTTATTTCTGACCTATTACTTTTAACTAATACTAGCATTTTATTTTTATAAACTTTTGATGATTTTTAACTAAACTTTTATATTAGTAAGTGCAAAAAACTGAAATAATTTAATAAAATATATAACAATATCATGAATTCAGGTGTAAAAGTTAATTATAATAGAGAAAATAATTTCTGTCATTTGTAAAGGATAAGACTTCAAAAATTAGCAATGTTTTTCTCTGAATAGAGGCTAAATAGTTTCCCTTCCAGCAAGTTTGACCTAATAATTTTGAAAGGTGAAAATATTAAGCTTACAATATATTTATTTTATGTAGTTGTCAATATGTAGATACAAAAAACACCAGGGTTAAATTTTTCTAAATGTTTATTTATTTAATTGAATATATAGTTTTAATATACTCTCTGTGATTTATTTCTAATATTTGAATGGGTACATGTACTTTTGTGAGGTCTTATTTCCCCAGCCATTGAAGATTGTTCATGTTTCTAATTTTACCTGCTTTTTAAGGATATTTTTAAAAATGAATAAATGAAAATACTCATATGATTTCTTAATCTTTTCAGGTCTTAAATATTACTGTCTGGACTCGCATAGATTTTGTTGATGAAATGGATAATGTAGTTTCCAGTTTCATTGCATTATTATTAATTCCCAACTACTTTTTAGGGGTTTACATATATTTTTTCAGTATATTGTGTAGTTTTATGATAGAGAGAAATGAAGACATTTTCCAATGTGTAGATTTCTAATGAACATTTTAAAGAAGGACCTTTATGCATAAGTGAAATGGAAAACTTATATATACTTCTGTTTTATTTATTAATTTCTATACGATTTTTGCATGAATTAAAAAAACTCAGTAAATATGATGAAGTTGAAAGCACAGAAATATGTAGTTTGTTTAAAATTTTTTAAAAGATTAATAACAATTGTAAACATAAAACACCTCAGCTTGGAAAATGTTCTTTATTAACCTAATCTCTTTTATAACTATTCTACAGTTTAAATTTTCTTTCTGTTGATGTAAGTAATTTTTTAGAAATATTATCAATAGATATATAATCAGGAGAAAATATTTTGGTGAGCTCCAAAAAGTTTTTTCTCAAAAATTATAAAGTTTTCAAAAGACAATATTTATGTTATGATCATTTAAGATATATATGTGTATGTGTTGGTTATTTGTATAGAGATGTGATAAATATACCTGAATATAGCAGTTTTATGTTGATAAACAATTTATTTGTAGATTTTAAGGATTATTGAAGTCAACTCTTCATGTAAGTACATGTGAATGGAAAATTGTATGATTTTCCACATAGTATCATAGATTGATGTTGGAGACACAATTCTCATTTATTTTTCATAAATAAAAGAATTTGTTGACTAGGAGAGAGATGAACTCATCTTTTAGGCTGGAAATATTTCATTTTCATTCTAGAATACTGTTTTAAATTAGATGGCAGACAGAATAAGCTCTTTTTTCAACAAATTTTTTAACTAATCATATTCTTATATTTATGTCGCTAGTTTGTGATCAACATTGAAATGAAACTCTACTCTCATTTCTTGTTTAATTTAATGTTTAAGCTATATGTGCTACTATACATAGGTTTTACATGGTATATATAGTCATACATTATTTATATGATGAACCACAAATTTATTTTACATACCAAAACAGGACTTTCATAATCAAGCTATCAACTGTTCTTGTACATGATAGTGTTGTTTTAACCAGGCTCTACTTTAGCTTTCTAAGCCACTACCTCATTCAGGCTAGTGAGTATAATAGGTTAGTAGCCATGAATAACAGAATATTTACACAAAACTGTTTTTTTTTTCAATGATTTTCAACTACAGAAATGCATATAATAAATAATTAAATATGTTAGACATTGTAAGAATAACATACATACTGTTATGTATCTGCTCGTTTAATAATTTCCCATAAAACTTCTTTCAGAGAAACTTCAGCGATACAAGTTCTTTCTTAATTAAAAATAGTTTATTCTTTCTCATTACAAACTTTGTAATACACTTAATTTCCACAGTCACTTTAATTTAAACACACGCTATAATTCACAACGATTCACGCACTTTACTTACAGTCACTACCGCTCACTTGACTCGGTTATCTCTCTATCTGCAATTATATCTCCGCTTTATTTGCCGGGCTTCTATACAAAAATAGAGGGTGTCTGGCAAACACTAGAGTTGCCAGGAACAGTCATGATTCTTCTATAAACTCATGACGTGTTACCAGCATCACGTGACTTCTGCTGTTGTAACACTGCCCCATCCTTAGTATTGTTCATCCTGAACAATAGCCACTTACATTAACCCAATAGATAATTAACAATAACTTGATTAAATGTACAGAATTTACAAACACAAAATTCAAATATAACAAAGTCTCTTAATTTAAAGCTGTCTCGTTGGCTTCTGCTTCACGTGGGGTTCATCTGCTCCATCAGGAAATGTCCTATTATCGGTAACAGTCACATCAGTGGTAAAAACTTCATTAAGGGCTTCACTGTTTCCCTTCTCAAAACCTGGTAGAGTTTCTTCTTTGACAATGGCTTTTTCAGGTGACGAGGCTTCAGCAGCGTCATTTGATCCATTGTTCACTTCGTCCCAACTGAAATGTCCTGGACCGTGATAATGCCAAAGCCTGTTGGCATGCACCACCTTTGGCTTACCTTGCCGACCACATTTTATTTGGAAAGTCACATCTGAGAGACGATCTACTATGTCATATGGGCCTTCCCATGAAGAAGACAACTTAGGAGACTTCCCTTTGGTCTTCCTGGGATTATACAACCACACCTTGTCTCCCAGTCTTCTTGCCGGATATTACAAAACTTTG